CCCATGCTATCAAGAGGGAGGTCATGGCTAACTAAGCACTTGCAAGTGCAGGTATGGGTCCACTAACCCTCATCATGAACCAAAGCCCAGCATGTGACTTCCATCCCCCACTTCCTCACCACCCTCCTGAGAGCTGTTACCGAACCCTCCTCTTTATGTGGGGGAAGACGACACTGCACATCAGCTGGTTGGCAAGGACTAGACCTCAGCTCTTCCTCCTGGTGCTTTTCCTTAAAGCCCCTCCATGATTCAGATCCTTCATAATTGAATTAATTAGACCTACACTGTGGGATGACACTGCAGGCAAGGCACATCCCCCTGGAGGGCAGCATGGGCAGTGGGCACAGCAGGGGTCTGCACTTGGGCAGGCCTGAGTCTGAGTCCTGCCACTTCCACCTCCCAGCCGGGGACCTTCAGCAAGTCCTCAATCCTCCTAGAGCCTCTGTTTCTTCACCTGCAAAAGAGGGGTAGCTGAATAGTCCTCACGGAGCTACTGGGAGGGCAAACGAGATCATGTATGTCAGGCTCAGGGCAATATCAGGCACGTGGAGGTGCCACTAGGCTGACTCTCTCTTCCTCTCTTCTCAGTAATCCTACCAGGTCATTGGGCAGCTCTCAGCCCTGCTCTTCAGGAAAGCCAAAGGATTCACTACATGTCAACTAGTAGAGGGGGGACCAGGCCCAGGTCTCCTGTCCCACAGCCCGGACCCTGCTGCTATGTGCTAAGGTGCCCACCAGGCCCTAGACTGGTGTAGAGCTGACCTTCCCTCTGGGAGGCCATGCCTCTGGTTGTCTTGTGGGAGTAAGAGGATGAGCAAGGAGACCCACAGACACACACATACACACACGCACACTCACGGCCTTCCTGCCTCCAGCTTTCCTGCCATCCTGCTTTCTCCCACCTCCCTGATTCAATCCGCGGGAAGGAAAGGACCCGGAAAACTTTTGAAGGGACAGACCGATCTTATGGGGCGATAGTGTCTCCCAGCAGGAGGGAAATTATTCTCCCCACTTGGCAGAGGAGGGTTCTTCTGCTCCCGAAGAGAGGAAAGAAATAGATGGAATCCGAGACTGTCAGTGCGGGCACACTCTGGGGAGTTTCTGAGTTCTTTCTTCTTATTGTAAAGACAAGAGTGGGCCCACCAAGCAAAACTGGGGCCCAGGGGCTCTGATTGCTGGTCTGTGGCTTTTCTAATTCAGTATCTTGTCCCCAAATCCCATAGTCATTAAACTTCACAGATCAGGACTCCTAGATCTAAATTCCATTCTGTTTTTCACTTTCCTCCATGTCTTTCAACCTTTGATCTAAGTGACTTTCTTAAAGCACATTACAATTTTAAGCTGTTGTGTCAGGCAGTTGGAACATAGGAGCTCTAACCCAGTCACAGAACAGCCTTTCAGATTAGTATTATTATGCATATGTCAATATAAGTTAACTAGTCAGAGAAAGCTGGTAACTTCTCTAGCTAACAACCAGTCATAATTTGAATACAGGTCCCAAGTCCATGCTCTTTCCACTACCTCCGCCCATACAATGGGTTTCCTCTCCACTCTTTACTTTCCCCAACATTTCTCCTCATATTCCTCTCCACTTCCCACCTTTCCCACCAAAACAATGTGGAAGGTCCCCTCCCAGTTTCCCGACCAATCGGAATGATGCCCGTTGAACTGTATCTGACCTCAAGCCAGGAGATGGATCTGAAACCTCTCCTCTCCATCCCCACCCTAACACTGGGAGCCAGAGCTCCGGGTGGCTGCGGCTTTTGGTCTGGCTTTGTTTTCTCTCATCATCTTATTAGCTGCCTAATTGGCAGCCCAATTAATCTGCTCATCTGTGAAGGAGGATGGATCACAATGAGCTACTCTGTTTCCAGAAGCCATTCTCTGAGGCAGCGTGGCCAGACCCTGAGCGCAGGCTGGCTCCTTGATGAAGGGCTGCCCCAGGAGCCGGGGTCAATTAGTGGACAGATTAAGCAATTATGAGCCCCTAACAAGGGTGCCTGGCATCATTACCCTGCCTGTTTACTGGCAAACTGCAGCTTTAGCATGAAGACCAAATAAATTAAGGCATCTGGTCTACTGCTGCATCGGCCGAGGAGTAAATGATGTCCAACTGGCTTGTGGCTGCCCATCGATTCTCGGCCTTGGCCTAATGAAAAGCCTGAGCCATCCCTCACTGGTCCCAGCAGCTCTGGAATGCGCTCTGGAGCGGAGCATCACTCCAGGAGCTAAGTGCCTGCTGCTGGGCATGGGGACTGTTCTCAGTCACCCTGCCGCCTCCTCCTGTCCGTCTGTCAAACCTACTCTTCCAGGGCCCAGATCAAAGCTGCTTCTCCCTGGTGAAGGATAGGTGTTGCTCTTCTGCATTTTGGAAGGGTTGTGTACTCTCTACTACTTTCCAGCATCACAGTCATTTCGTGGGATGCCAGGGTGCCATCTTGCCCATTGTTTTTGATCTTAGATGAAGGAGCATTGAAAGAGGAAGGCGAGGGCAAGAGCTCAGCATTGTTTTTTCACCTCCTCTCCTGTGGATGCATGCAGGCCATGACCAGAGGACATCAAGGAGGGAGTGGCAGGGTCAGACTTGCACTTTCGGAAGATCTCCTGGCTGCAGTGTTGGAAGGCATCTGTCAGAGGCATTGGCTGTCATCCAGACCAGATGTGGTGGTGGCAGAGAGCAGAAGAGAGGCAGAGGATGGGATGAGGGCAGCTTTGCTAGATTCAAAGAAGAGACTTGGGGATGGCCTGACTGGGGAAGGAGAGTCATGGAGAATTCAACTTTTCTAAATTTAGTGACCTGGAAGCAAGGTGGTGTTGGTGCTAGTGAGAAGCAGAGAGGGAATCTGGAACAGAGGACCCTCAAGGTGGGGAAAGGGACAGTTGGGGAACACTGAAGGAACCTCTCTCCTCATATGACTTTAGCCAGATCCCTTCTCCCCCTGCTTCCTGGTGTGCCCATCCTCAGCATGAAGATCCAGATCCCCAAGTCCCCTGACCCCATAGTCATCAATTTGATGTCAGCATTTAGTGGACTTCATCTGTCTGTCAAAACCCTGAGGGCTCTCCAAGGCTCAGCTCAAATGCTATCTTTTCTTGGAAGCAATCCCTGTGCTCTCCAGCCTGTCCTTGGGCTTCAATTTTACATCTTGACCTATCTCTTGGAAACAGAGATCTATATTTATAAAATTCTCCAGGCAGCACCTAACCCATAGTCCTACGTCCACAGTGGCTAACAACATAGACCCCAGTCCCCTACTGAGCTCTCACTATTTTCCAAGCTGAGGACAATGTGTTCCCTCCTTAAAAACCCTTTGAGGTTAACCCAAATGCTTTTCTTTCCCTGCTTGTGTCCTGCGGGAACACCTGGTCTTCAAGATTGCACCAATGCTCAACCCTGACGGAGTCTACCTGGGCAATTACAGGTGAGTGATGGGACAGGATGCTCAGAAGCTGGTAGTTGTAGGATGGTGGTATGGAAGCACTGAGAAAAAGGGGATGTATTTTTGAGGAAGGATTTTCAGACTTCCCATGAGTTCATTAGAGGAAGTTCACCCTGGCTCTTGAGAATGTGGCTAATGAACCTTGGCTCTTTCATGCTCAGTCACCTGAGATATCACTTGCTTGGGTTTTCTGAGCAGCTTGCTGGACCAGGAATCAAGTGCCTACTATCAGTTTTGGCACCTACTTCCAACGTAAGCTTAGGGAATTCACTTCCCCTCTGATGCTCAGTTTCTCTTGTGTAATGGAGACAATAATTACTTACCTGGCAAGGTATCTGTGAGCATCAGAAGAAATGGTGGTGATAACTATGCTTTGCAGAATATCATGTGGTGGTTATAATGATTGCTGTTTCATTTCTGTGTTTCTTCTTGGAGGCCATTAATGATGGAACGGCACCCCAGATCATCTGAATAGCATTTCTGTGTTTTGGGCTTACCAGCTAGCCCCACACTCACTCATGCACTCCCGTCTTGAGTTCTCTTTACCTGGTGCACCATAATTTATAGCCTAAATTCCACTGCTCAGGGGTTATCTGCTGAAAGGACATTGGATCCTCTCAGATAGTGTTCTTGCTCTTATTTCACAGTTGAGGCCACTGATTCGCCCAAAGTCACACCCAGTAAATCACTGACTGTCTAACTTCTCTGCCACTATTATATAGCTCTGTTGTTTATGAGTTCAACAACAACTCTCAAGAAAACATTCAAAGGGCTGGGCTTTCTTGAAAGGATCTGAATGACCTGGTGTCCATCCGTCTACCGTGCTGTCTCACCTCCCACACCGCACTCTTAGAACCATTGCTGTGGCCACACTAAGTAATGCCTTGTTCCCTGGATGTGTCCTGCTGGTCTCTGATCCCTTACCCTCTGCCCAGAACCCCCTTATCCCTTCTTCACCTCACTCACCCCTCTTCACAACTCATGCTGTTCCCCTTCTTCTGGGAAATGTTCCCTAATTCCCCAAACAGAACTGGTCACAGCCTTCTCTGACCTCCCACCAGCCTGGTTATTGAGCAAGTTTTATCCCATTGCATGGACCCCATTGACCCTCCAGCCACCAGAGAGCAGGGACTGAGCCCTAATGGTCTTTGTGTATACCCCAGCACCTGGCAGCAAGGATCAGCACATAGTGGGTGCTCAAAGAGTGTTTGATGAATATGAGTGAAGAAATGCAATGACTCAACTGATGAAGAAACTGAGGCCCAGAGATGAGATGGGACTTGCCAAATGTAGTGGCAGAGCTCAGACCAGAACCCAGGTTGTCTGGTGCCAGCCAGCTTCACTTCTAACAGAGCTGGTTTGCTGCTTTCCAAGAGCATGGCAATTCAGTCTAGAGGGGCCTCCTGATCCCCCTGGGTATGAGTTAGAGAGAGCCCACGGGAGGCATGATGCCTTAATTAAAGACAGTTTTGCTTCCTCTCTTAATTGGCTCTAGTGATGGTTCATTAGCACTGGCAAGTTTTACGGCTTGCTGCGGGCCTGAGTGCCGTGCAGTTCTCCTCCCAGGACAGAATGCTGTTAGTGATGATGGTGGTGGAATGACCGTTTGATTTATGTTAACATTTCTGTTTAATTATAAGAGCGGCCGTGGTCAGAGGGAGGTCAGTGATGTCCACACACACTGTTATGTCGTCATCTGCCCTCCAGGGATGATGCACTGGAAAGAGGTCTGTGACCTTGGCCAGGATGCCGCCCCTCCCTGGGATGGCCAGGGGGGTGGTGATGAGGAACCAGATGCGTTAATATGTCTTCGAGCTCCAGATTTTGTGATTTGGGATTTTAAGATGAAAGAGCTCGGACCCTCAGAAGTGGTTCTGCCCTGAAGTTTAAACCCCCAGCATTCTCCAAGTGAGAATGTGTGACTCTCATTAAGAGAGCAGGAGGAAATCTCTAACCACAGGCATTAATCTGTTGCTAAAACAGCTCTGAGTAGCAACAAAAGAGCCTATCAGTCACAAAAATTCACTACCAGATGTGGAAAGTGTACAAAGTAATGTAGTAAAGACTCAGAACTGAGAGCCCCAAGGTACCTTGGAGGTCCCCGAGACCAGCCCCTCCTGAGCCCCCGACTGATACAGCAGCAGTTCCCACAGTTTGATGGGACTTCCCACGGCATTATGGGAGCTGAGGGCAAGAATTCAGAGTTCGAGTAAGTTTGGGGAACACAGAGCTGAGAAAAGTTAAACATGTCCTTTTACAATAAGATTTTTCAGTTTCGAAAATGCTAATAAACGGGAATCTGAAGAAGGGAATATGTATTTAGTGTTCTCCAAATGTGCGTCAAGGAACCCTTTTCCTATGGAGCTTGTTCCCCCACCCCCTCCCCCATACACTCCCCCAGGGGTGTTAGGGTTTATAAAACACATCGCAGGAAATGCCATTTCAAGAATTCTGTTTGCTCACCCAGCCCATGTCAAGCTCTCCCACACTTATTTCATCCTTATAGCCACCCTGTGAAGGGGGGTAGGGGGGTCTTTGTTAAAATTTCCATGCTTGCAAATAATAAAAACCTTCTCAAATTAGCTTGAGTATAGGAGGAAAGGCAGGAAGGAGGGAGCATAGGACAGAGGAAGAGAGGGAGGAGGGGAGGGAGGGAGGGAGGGAGGGAGGAAGCTTATTACTTAAAGTATATAGAAACAAAGAGACAGAAGGCAGAATGGTGGTTGCCATGGGTGGGGGAGCGGGGGTGGGAAGGTATTGTTTAGTGGGCATAGACGTTCCGTTTTATAAGACGAAAAGAGTTTTGAAGAAAGATGATGTTGATGGTAGCACAACAATATGAATGTACTTAATACTATTGAACTGTATCATTAAAAATCATTAATATTGTGAGTTTGATGTTATGTGTAGTTTACAATTAAAAATGTAAGAATGGTATGGCTGCTGATGCAATGCGAGCATCTTCCTAGGTTCGGGGGGGACTGGAAGCCTAGAGGTCTTGCAGGATGAATACTGTAGCTTCAGGTGTTGCAGAGCCAAGAAGGTGCAAGGCAACTCCTGGTGGAAGGCCGTTGGGTTGGAATGGGGCCTGGTCCCTCCATCAGTGGCTGCCCATATGCGTTGCAGCGTTTGTACTGTCTCTCTCTCTCTCTGCTACCTCCTCCCCATCACTTCCTTGGCAGAGAAGAAAGCCTCCCCCTCTACCTGTGCCCCCTGTGTTCTCTTCTGAGCGTGCGGAGTGCACAGGTTGCCTTGCATTTGAGAAACAGACTCTCCATCTCCATCTGACAGCAGGACTCTGTGGTGGGTTTGCATTTCTTAATTAGGTGCTTGTCATTGTGTATTCCATAGAGCCACGTATAAGTAAACAGCCATAGACCTTTGAATAAATTTATTGGTTTTATTTATGTTTCTGGGCATAAAAAAATCTATAATTACCAGGTACAGCCTCAGTATAACTGGTATTTAATGACAATTACTTTTTGTTGCCATAGAAATGAGTCCAAAGTAGTTACCCATAATTTCTCATTTCCCAAACCTCACACATGCTGGATTGCAATATTACCATAGTAATTGCCTATTAGTCATCATAAAATACGCAGTTACCCAAAAGATAGCAAGGGGCTGTGAAATTTCTCATCTTCAGAAAACCTCGCTGCTTCTTGGGAGTGTGGCGGCGGGGCGAGGCGCAGACTCCCCGGGCGGTGAGAGTGATTCGCTGTGTAGATGGCTCCGTGGTGGAGAGATGCTGCCACGCTCTGCAGACCGCGCCTCGTTATGTCTCTTGGCCCTGGCACTCCTCACGCTGCAGAGGAGGCGCGAGTGCAGTAAATCCAATTTAACTAAGGTTTGTGGAGGGCCTGCTGAGTGCCAGGGCCCAGGTGGGGCTCCGGGAAGCTGACGGCAATCGGAGGCAGCCCTTCTCCATGAGAAGCCCTGTGTTTGGACTAGAGCAGTGGTTCTCAACCTTGGCTGCACACTAGAATCACCTGGGAATCTTTTTCAAATCCTGATTTCTGGGCCTCATCCTCTGGAAATTCTGTTTCTTTGTTACTAATGCTGTGGCCTCACCCCATAACAAAGAAACAGAATTTCCGGAGGATGAGGCCCAGAAATCAGGATTTAAAAAAGATTCCCAGGTGATTCTAATGTGCAGCCAGGGGTGAGAACCACTGGACCAGAGGGTGTGTGAATGATGCTATGGAGGCTTCCTCTAATGCCTAAGTGCCTACAACTGTACGTCATCTATATCATCACATGTGACCCTCTCAGCAGCCCTGCGATGGAGGTAGCATTGTAGCCCCATTTTAAATAGAGAAGGAAACTGAGGCACAGCGGTGCCAACGAGCCTGCCCCAGGTCCCTCCGCAGGAAGGGCAGAGCAGGTTGGTGAACCAGGCAGGCCCATTGTAGCCTGCCACAGATTTCACCCCCACTCTGCTGCTCCTGTAAACAGGAGGGCTGCCCTCTGACCAGAGATGAGGGTGGGGTTTTGAAAGATGGAGGGTATATAGGCGTTCACCAGACATAGAAGGGAGAGAAAGAGAGATTTGTACAGCAAAACAGCGTTAACGATGGCAGAGGGTGAAACACCAGGGAACTATTTCCAACACACACACACACACACACACACACACACACACACACACACATTATAACTGTCTGGCTTTGCCCACTTCAACATCCAAAGAAGGAAATATTTTGAACTGGCTAAAACAGAACAGAACATAAAATTAGCTGTGTGAAATACATGTCAATAGCCCCTTTGTTCTCTGACAGCATAACAACTGTGCATTTATTTTTCATCAAGTAGAAACGGAAAACAAACATCCGCTGCAAGGATTCCTCACAGGAAGACCTGCTGGCCCCTCTCCCTGAGCCTCCTTCCCAGCCAGCCATGTTTCAGCCACGTGGTGACTCTGTCAGCACCATCAGCCTTGGAGGGAGAGGAGAGCTTGGACAAAGTATCCCTAAGTGACAGCA